AGGGAGGTGTATGTAAGGAGACCAGGTGGTTTTTTCCACGCATCACCATCGCTGTTGATCTGTGACTCTATGCGTGCCCATCTCACAGCCGATGTGAAAAAACAAGTGCAGCAAATGAACTGTGAGCTTGCTGTCATTCAGGAGGCCTGACAAAGGAACTCCAACCGCTGGACATCGGTGTGAACCGGCCATTCAAAGTAAGGCTGCGAGCGGCGTGGGAGCGATGGATGACCGATGGAGACCACAGTTTCACTAAGAGTAGAAGGCAGCGCCGGGCGAGTTACGCCACAATTTGCGAATGGATTGTAGATGCTTGGGCTAACATGTCTGCTGGCACTGTTGTTCGAGCTTTCGCAAAAGCCGGCATCATTTCCGAGGAGCCGCACGGCACGGAAAGTGACTCTGACAGTGAAGAAAGTGAACCTGGCATGTTTGATGGAGATTTAGCGCAGCTGTTCAGACACAGAGATGAGGACTTCAATGGGTTTGATTGATGACAATTACCGGTAATAAAAAATGCGAGTACCAAACTCAGTTTTGCTCCCGCTTTATTTTTAAACACGCATACTTGTATGCGCCCTATAATCAGGTGCGCCTTATGTGTGTGTTAAATGCAGTAATGGCACACATAACTGAGACTGTGCCTTTTAGTACAGTGCGTCTTTTGGTCGTGAAAATACGGTAACTTAATCGGGAAAAATAAACTACTGCAAAAATTTTTAATTTAAATATCTGTGCTTTCACACACCTGGGAAGAGAGGTCTCTCCATTCTGCAACTCCTTCGTCATGTATAGTGACACTTCTAACTCCTCCCAGGATCACGTTCTTGGCAATCTCAACTCCAAGGCCTCTCATACCAGAGATGAGGACATTGGAGTTCTGCATGCGCTTCATAGCTTCATGGCCCAGCACGTAACTAAATAATGACATAAAGAACCATTGGCATCATTATGCATTGGTAGATGTCAAGCCCAATAACCATCAAGTCCAACATCACAAAAAGGAAAAAAAAGAAGCTTACAGCTGTCTTGAGTACAGGCCTTCATCGATCTCAGCATCATTGCCATTCTTAGCCATGCCCTGGGAAAACAACACGAAGTGCAATCAGTTTACGTTACAAGTTCTACTCACTCTATAGAGTAGATGTGTTTGCACTCACGTTGGCAGGTGTGTGGGACAGATCAGTTCTGACAGAGTTAGAGGAGGAGCAGTGGGATCCCGTCTTCGTCTCTGTTCCTGACAAGCGACGCTTCTTGGACAGCGGCGAGCTGGACATCTGTGCATTAACCACCATCATAAATTAAGTTGTCATTCAAGCACATGAATGTTACCAGTTAACAACTGCCCTATAACATTTTGGTAGTTTGCAATAAATCTAGAATAAAAGAAAGACATTTTACATCATTAAGAAAAAAAAGAAAGACAGCACACTGTCAACAAGCCTGGGTTTCCTGAAGGTTCTCAGAAGCCAACTGATTCCAATTCATATAAACTTCAGTAATTTTATAATTCGTTGCTATGGTTCCATTATAATAAATACCTAAACTAAAGGCTAACCAGTCCCCCTCATTTTGAAGAGAGGATTTTTAGCCTAGAGAGCAGCTGGGCTGGCTTCAGGCCAAACACAAATCTGCTAGAAAACGAACTGAGGCTGGGAAGAGACATGAATAGCATTACGGTTCTTTCATACACACAGAAAGCACAGGTTTGTTTAGATACTTCTATTGTTTTTTCCTGGTATTTATCGACACCCAACATGTTTCAAGGAAAAGAGCTGAATCATTAAAAGTTCACTGCGGTAAACTGAGCAATACCACACAATGGCTGGCAGGTGCGGACACAAGGACCACACTGTGCTGCAACTAAGTTGTAGATGGCGACGTTACAAGAAAGCTCTAAACGGCAACATTTAATAGCAATGCATTTACTTATGTATTTAGATTTCTGATTAACGCAGTAGTCGCGATAAACCTCTGCACTCGGAGGGCCGCAGCGTTTTTCAAATACAATCTGGGTGCACAAAAAAAAAAAAAAAAAAAAAAAAAGGTCGGGCACAATTTCCGCATCCAATGCGGCGCCAACTTCCGTGCATTTCCCAAGGCACACGTATCAGTTTATAACCCTCTCTACGACTTTAAATTATGACGAGGCCTGGGCACATTTTCATACGACTGCAACCAGCCTAAAATAGCCTTCATATCACCGTTAACTGAACGGTCGCGCTTGTCAAAACCGAAAATGAAGGCGTCCGGCATGATACAGCAAAGCCGCCCGGCTGTTACTGTAGTTTGCCAATCCTACTAGAAAACGTTAGCGGGTAGCAGTCGATTTAAAGATCTCAACGTGTGGAAAAATATTAATTAACTGTCAGACAACAGCACCAATAGAAAACTAAGTAGGTTCCGAGCAACTAATCGGTTAAGTGATTTGGCAAGTGGACAGAGTCTAAACATTAATAACTTAGAGGGAAGAAAACACCAGCTTGTCAGCTTATCCATTAGCAGCTCGGCCTAGGCCCGCATTACCCTCAGTGCGGAACACAATTTTACAAGCTAGCAGCTGTGGCTACACTCCAACCGACCTCGCACTGGAGAGCAGCGGATTTGACAGTAGTCTACCACAGCTCCTATGTGGATATGGGTAAATGTCTAGGCATCTAACAAACAGACAATTTAACTTTGTCACTTAACATAAACACCGCGAATACAAGCCAAGCCACTACACTCGTGCTCCATTGATTTCCTTTTCCTTACCAATAATCCTTCTCGGTCCCTTCCCAATGCGAACCCGCTCCTCTCCTGCTGTGTGTAGCTGTCAGTAAAAACGCTGATTGTATATTCGACGATTTGTACAGAGAAAAGAAACGCGATGCGGGATTGGGGTGGTCTGCACTATATTGTCGAGTCACTATGTCGTTGTGCCGATAGTCTCTCCTATGTAATTGCGCTGCTGGCTTTGCGACTGCAGACAGGAACAAAACCAAAATGGCAGATGGGGAGAAAGGGGCGGAGGAGCTGTGACGCAGGGGCTGAAATATTCAACAGGAAAGGGTGGCTGCAAGCACGCTGCTCATCCAGGTCCTCGGCTCATTGGCTCTTCAAGCCCAAGCTAAAGCGCGTTGATCCCGCCCTCGCTACGAGAGGATGCATGCCAAATATCTTACTGTACAATGAACAGTAGGATCTCCAATAATCTAATGAAAAAACCCAACACTTAATGAGAAAAATAATTGCGGGTATGTCTGAGACCATTGCATGAAAGGATTCTCCCTTAACGGAGCTGAATGTAACTCATCAGTAACAACACCTTTGTTTCAGAGGCAGATTAGCAAGGACCAGTCATCTTCATGTGAACTCCATAAACAAAGCTGAACACCAAACTTGCAACAATGCACCATCAGAAAGAACACATTTCACAGTTAAACGCCATTAGATATACTCTCACTGGAGCACAATTTGCTACATTCCACTTAACACACCGATTGTTTTGACCATTTTATGAATTCAGCAATTATCACTACTCAAGTCGGATAGTGTACGATCCTTATTAGCTAGTGATGCTGAGCGTCTGGGCGTTTTAGTCACACTGAGGTTAGGGGTGAGCATTCCTTGCAGAAGAGTATTGGGGGAGGGGGTGCCTAGTAAATGACAAAGGCCCAGAAAAAAAAAAGAGTGGGCCGCATATACTCGGGTACACATGTCGAGGTGATCCCCTATTTTCATCTTCCAACTAGAAAATGTTTTGAACTGAAGCATACGAATATCAATGATGTCCGAATAATAGGCTGCCTAACTTGACAAGCTAAACACAGACTAGCCAGTGTTAGGTTACTGTGATAACGCCGATAAACGTGCTATCGAAACGGGAACCCTACATATACAAACGGATATACGAGGAAAAAAAAATAGTGCCAGCATGTACGCTCGTGATGCCAGTTAGCTCGTGTCTGTCTTTCAACGTAGTATCCATCAAATGTTTGAAGCAACTAGCCTTGTAGATACCATTAACGTTATTTATCGCCTAACATTAATTAAAACAGCAACCCCGTGCACATAAAAATGTACAAATGCTAATTTGCCGTTAACAGTTACGTGTCAGTGTCTTGTTAGCCACCGTTAGCGGAGCAAGGAGCTTAAATGGTTCGCTCAGCCGCCTGCAACTAATATTAACGACTATCGATAACGCACATCAAAAGACTGCGTAGTTGTTAGCTTGTGTGCGGCTAGCTTTCGAGCTATCTAGCCACCCAGCGACTTTTTCCCCGTCTTGTGCCGCTATGTTAGCTAACTAGCTAACATTAGCAAACTAGCTGCGGCTAACATAACCAGGACGAGAGCTTACACAAGTGTGCAGAACTTACCACATCCGATATTTACTCGGCCTGATCTGGAGTATTAAAAATCGCCTTCTGCTTAAGCAAAGAAAAACAACAACCAAGGTGACAATTCAACACCGCCACTGACTGCAAAGTGAAAAGTGTGTCACGGTGGCGGGCTCTGTGTGAGTTTTTTCCGCTGGACGGCTGCCTGTCCGGCTGTTCCCAAACCGTTTCCCCTCACTCTATTTCAGTTGAAAGCAAAGCAAAGCAGCAACATGTGCACGTTACAGGCACAACCATCATTCTGGGTCTTGGGGTTAATTGAAAATGAATATGATTGGTTTGTGTCTGCTCTGTCTTTTAATTAATCGTTAACGCTCACACATCCCATCTAGAAGATAAAGCGTACTGAATATTACACTGCTTTGTGGTTTAGTTGTTTATTTAGAAACAAGACTACTTTTTCCACCCCCGTACCCTTACAAGCATGGACTAAACCGAAGTTCACGCAGTGCCTTATGGGACTTGTAGGCACATAGGATAACATAATAGAACGCCTGTCAGAAATGTGCCTTTTGGATAAATGTTGATTAAGCACGTAAAAAACAAAACAAAACTCGGCTGTAATTCTAAAATGTTTTTTTTGAAGAGTGATCAAATGATTTTAAACAACTCAATATATATGCATGTATTTACTGACTTACTTTTATTGAAAGACTTGCAAACAGTGCACATTTTACATAGGGACAGAATAGTGGAGATCTAGACTTGTTCAGGAGAAAAGCACAGAATCTGGTATTACATACACCCAATAGCAGAACAAAAGTCAGAACAGTTTTATGATGAAAAGGATAAAATAGGCAGGACTGTCCAGTTAACGGTACCAAATGAATGTGCTGACAAAACTGGAGCAAATGAAAACAAACTATCTGGAAATGTTTGGGGAAAAAAGGAGAGAAAATGTAAGTGTTACTGTGTTATTGCAAAGCCTTTATACAGTATATTTCCCCCAGCTCTCCGGCAGATGTGGAACAACTCATAAGTCTAAGTGACAGTTTAAGTTTAAATATACCGTTTAATAAAACAAATTATAATTTCCTGCAACCAGGGGAATGGCTTTATCAGATCAGTTTCACATATTTCTGTACAACTTTGTGACACCAACCATCACAACAGAATAACTAGCCACATAAATACATAGTAACTAAAAAAAATCATGGGACAATCTGCTTTGAGCAAAAAGGAAAAAAAGTAAATGTCACTTTGGATATGAGGAAGTTCACACCATGGAAGAAAAATATGACTTAGGAACCTAGTTTGATTCTGTTTATTTACAGTTTTTAGGGGACAATACTTTATTTAGAGCTTTTCTTTCACTGTTAGTTGAGGATTTTGCCATTCTTATTTGTGCAGCTTCATAATTTGCAAATTTGTTGAGTGCTTGGATTTCCATATGAGGTGGTTGTGTGGTAAACATTTAGGCACACAATCTGGATTTAGCATAACCAACTTTTAAGATCTTGATCTGTGAAGCTGTCGTACAGAGATATATTGTACTCTAATCCCTCTAGACTCCAGTGACGAAAGTGTTTGGAATGTCAGAGGGTCAAGGTCAAGGTCAAGGTCAGATTTATTTATATAGCACATTTCCAACAGCCGATGCTGCACAAAGTGCTTAACAATAACAATAAAATTAAAAACTACAGTGTAATACAATAATAACAATAGAAACAATAAAATAGAAGAGGGGGGTAGGATCATCTGGTATATGCAGCCAAACCAAACAACAGTGTAATAACTTCTCTTTTTGAGCACAATTAGGCAGTCCTTCTGGGTGAGACAGTCATTAAATCCTTAAGTTTAACTATGAATACAGTGTTCCAGGTATTTTTCCCTTTGTGTATTGCATCATGCACACCTGCCTCATAGTCCCCTGCCTATCCCAGGTCTTGGTGACTGGCTGGAATGAGCAGGAGTCGCCTGTCCATCTCTGTCTTCCTGCTCTCCCAGCGCCTGGGGTGAGGCTTCTGTGGGTGGAGATGGTGGGGGATAGGCAGGAGGAGGAATGCTAATGTGAGGAAGAGATGGCAGCACAGGTCTGGGAGAGGTAGGAAGTGGTGGTGGGGTGCCGGTGGTTGCAGATGTGGACCGCTGTGAGGGGCGTGCACGAGAGGTGGCGGGAGAAGCGTGTGTGCTCCGAGCTCGAGGTTGCTCAGCAGGACAGTCACTGATTTGCTCTAGGAGCGATGGCATGTCTCCCTCGATCTTCTCCAGCACAGCAGCCATTTGCTTTTCTATCTGCTCGATCACACTGTCCATTTGCCAATCGCTTGAAGTCCCCCCACTGTGCTGTAGCCCAGTTCCATACCTCCCTACACCTCCTCCACTCGTATACAGGGAACTGTATGGACTCCCATAGCTCCCAGCCATCCCCATAGCCCCAACCTCTGGATTGTATGGTGTGGCATGACGGCCCAAGCTAGCAGAGCAAGCCTGTCCCGGTGTAGCACCTGCTCTTGGTATACTAAACTCAGCGCTGTATCTATCTGTTCTTCTGGCATTCCTGTCCTGCCTATCTACTGGACTCTCATTGCCCCTGAGCCTAACTTCTAGTCCTCCATCCACCCCTGTACCTGGCCCCACTGCTGGAGTAACTGGCGCCACCACAGACTTCTCAGCCACCGCTTCAGGTACTTGTGTCTGACACCAACTTCCGTCAGTCTCATCCTTTTGCTCGCTTTGTGTGACTGGTCTCTTCAGCGGTGAGGCTGATGCAGCAGCGGATGCTGTGTGTGAAGGTGCATGAAGTGTTGCAGCCATTTTACGTTTGCTGCTGGGGTCGGGGGAGGACGATATGTGTTTTTTGTCAAGATTAATGCCCGAAGTGCTGTCTAATAGCTTTGAGGCCTCAGGGCTCACCGCAGGCGTCTGTTTGAATTCTGGGACAGCTTTATTTTGGCCCAAATTTGCAGCCATTTTCCTGGTTCCGTCACCTGCGCCTTTCTTTGCACCAACCTTGTCAGGCTGTTCCTGGGTACAGTTGGGGACTGCATTTGGTTGACAGAAAAGGTCCTCTACACCTGATGGCGAAGTTCCTACAGATGGGCCTATATGCATCTTTACCTCCTCTTGTTTTTCTCCAGCCTTAACTGTCTCTTTACTCTGGTCCATCCCAGAGGGCATACTCTCAATAGTAACTTCTAAAGACACACTACTTGATGTTACCCCACCATCACTCATCCCTTTCTCTCCCTCATCACTTGTTCCCTGCGAAGCACCCCCTTCACCATCCCCTGCCTCCTCACTGCCCTGAACCTCAGCAGAGCTATCAATCAATGCTTCTGAATTCTTCAGGCGTTGCATGAAGGTGGTGACACGGATTGCTTTCTGCGAAACAGACAGAAGTAGAAGAAAAACAAGAGAAGGATGGTTAGGATGTAAAGAATTAGATTTGCAGTACATTTCATTTTCGTTAAAATATACTTCCTCTTCCCCCCCTGCTAATAAAAAAATACTTTGATAACATAGTTATGGAAAAGCTTAAAAAATAAGCTTCAAGTACAAGCATTTGAGAAAAAAGCCTGTCAACACACCATGATTTTTGCAACTTCGTACTAAGAGCTGAGATATGATTTGTGTGACATGAAGGAAGATTAGTGCCGGTTGTTTACTTCCAGAAGGCTATGACATATTGTGCCCTGGTTTAAATCAATCTCAAGTCTCACCCTCCCCAAGAAACTCCTTGAGTGCTTGCTGACTGGAAAAAGTAATCAAGCAAATGTGTATAAATCCCCTTCTTATAAATGTTACACCGATCTGATTCCTTCTGCTCTACAAACACTGAAGGAGTCAGGGGGGAACGTGTGAGCTTAATAACTGCTAATAAACCAGGGAAACGAATTCCCTTGAATTCTCTGGAAGTGAAAAGCCACTAGGACACAAAAATGCTACTGAGAACAATATCTCTTAACTGAGATTTCTTTGTATTGCTTCAAAAATGATTTAAATGTAACAACAGTATGGGACAATGGGCCAGGATTCACGTAAGAGGAATGCCAGAGGGCCTTACAGTATAAATCACGGCAGTTCATAAGTTCACAGTGGCTAAGAACCCTTATGTCCTTTCCATTTGACCCTCTCCTTATCTACACTAATTTAAATACTACAAACGTAGTGAAGAAAAAAAAAAACCTTGCTTCTCTGCTGCTTATCTCACATTTATAGATCTGGATTCATAAACCAGTGCAGATGAGGAGAAGGAAAGGAGTAGAGCAGGCCACTTTGAACATCTGGGTGTAATCCAATGACAAAAGTGGGGCAGAGTGGATGGATCTCTTCTGGGACAGGCAGAGTGACAGTGGGCAGGAACAGAGCTTGGGAAGAGTTTCAACGGCCCCTGACATGATCAATACATCTCAAAGCTGGCTTGGGTTTAACATTTAATATAACCTTTTTTCCAAACTGATTTTTATAGAGATAGCTTCTGATAAAAACCTCTTTTTAATTTAAAAGCATATTTGGCTATCAGAGAGACGTGTTATCGAGTCATTCTGGACTAAATGTGAGCTTCTCCCCATGCTCTGCCCTTCCACTGTCCTTCAGAATGAAAAACAATACCTTTAATTCCTGGGAACCACATGGAGAAAGAGAGAAGAGGATTGTTGCTGTTACTTAAGCTGTTAGGTTAGCATTGCCACCATTTTCCTTCTTTGTCTTCACCAGTCTCATCCCTGGATCGCCTTATCAGTTCCACCATGTCATTCACAGACTTTAAACATACCTCTGCTGAGTTGTGTTAGGAGCTAAAAGCACATTAACACCCTGGTCTTCACCTGGTTTCTCCTCCAATATGCCTCTGCTGCTATTATTTCCAACTTCATTTAATCTCACATTTACAGAGCAGGAGTGAATACATACCCGCCATTTGGCCTTTGCAAAGTTCTTTTCAAACTGGGCACACACGCCATCCTTCAGGTTCTTTTCTGATGCACCGTTCCCTGCAATCCTGAGACACAACATACAAGTAAATGTAGCTGTGTGCCAAGATTCCTGTTGCTATTGTCAGCATGTACACATGATTACCACTCATGGAAAAGCGCATCTTGCGCTGTGATTCTCAACATCTGGTCCACTTCCATCAGGCGACAGACAAGCTCCTTAGCTGAAAGAGCAATGAAAAGGCAAACGAGGCATCTTAAGAAATCATATATGCAGTCTTTAAAAAGTGAAAACGTTAAAACATTCTGTGCTGTTTTCAGTTTTGCTCTGCAAAATATTTCATGACCATGGCAATTTTGATAAAAAAGTGCCACAAAATGTTTTACCTACTGATGCTCTAAATGAAGTTTACTGATAAACTGTCGTATTAAGAAAGAAAGTGAAGTATCCACTGCCACCATGTGGTGGAGTTGTATACCTGCAGGTGAAATGTCATCCCAGTAAGGAGAATCAAACTCAAAATCCCCAGCAACAATCCGGCAGAAAATGATGCGATTATGCAGATCGGTGTTTTCTTCCTCGGTTTCATCGTAAAAGGGAGGGTTACCCGACAAGCTGCAAAAAAACAAAAAACCAACCAAAAAAAACACAGAAAGAGACAGAAGAAGCGTAACTATCCCATGGACAGACCATATATATATATATATATATATATATATATATATATATATTTTTTTTTTATTAGGGGTGCAACGATACACAAAATTCACGGTTCGGTTCGATACTTTGGTGTCACGGTTCGATATTTTTTCGATACAAAAAAAAAATGTTCATGCCTTTTTAATTTGTCATTTATTAAAATTATAAATATATATTTTAACACAAAAGTACAGTTTTTAAATTTAACCCTAACCCTTGTGCGTGTTGTTATTTAGCTCGTCATATTGCAGCCACAGAAATTCTTTTGTCCATGAAACCATAAAGCTGCACTTTCTTTTTGCCTTATAGTCTGATTTGTCATAACTTCTCAGTTTTGTGGTAAGCTTTTCTTTGGCTGTCACTTCTTCACCCTGACCTGTCTTATTTGGCTCAGCAGAACTAAAATATATATCCTGCTGCTTTTACACACTCACTCACATAAGCTCTGCGTGATCAACCTCTCACATGTTTAAGCTGCGGGAGATTTCACTTGTCATGTTTGCATAGTAAGCTAACGATTAATAAGACGATGTCAGAGGAATTGGTGCACAAATTATCATCACTCACAGATCAGTGCTGTCGCTCTCTATACACAGTTCGCATGATTGCAAAGTGAAAGCAAAAAAACAAGCACAAATTCAAACACGATTTCAATATGTCACATATTGACAGTGGCTCACCCAATGACATAATTACCCAGCTACATTTCTGAAAGAATGCAAAAGCATTGACATATATTTTTCCTTCCTACAATAGCCCGACAGGCAGGGCAGAGATAGCCCCGGGACGTCGGGCTAGCGATATTGCGAGCCCTGTATCTGATTGAGGAATCACTCATCTTTGGAAAAGAGAGTTTATTACAGAGAAATGTCTCTTTCCAAAATAAAAGCTATACTATCCGCTTCTTCTGGGCTATATTCTCAGCAGCATATTAAACATATCAGGTCTCCATAAGGAGAATCCTGTGCTAACAGCTGTCTAAATGACTCGGCTAAAGTTTGTAGCATGCATGCTTGTTGTTTTTGTCTTTGCACTAGGATGATGTCAGTGTAAATGTGCAGTCATATTCGTTGTGTTCCCACTAGTGCTTTCAGGTTAATCTCGTTGAAATAACCTTAACGCCACAACACGGCAAATCTCCGTTAACGAGCTACCCTATACAGAGGGGCTAGACGGCCAACACGTTAACGAGCTAACTGCGCTAACACACTAGCTCCCACCAATGTAATTGAGCATTGCATGGCACATCCAACATACTGTTTTACTTTAGTCCATGACTCGCTTACCTTCAGGGTCATACGTCACATGAAAACCAAAATAATTCCAAACGCCAGATCTGAATGAGGGTGGGGAGGTCCACTTCTGTCTCGCTAGGTTGCCCTGCGCTCTTCCTTCTGACCATGCTGTCTGTGTTGAGCGCTCAGTGGATCTGCGTTCGACTACTCCGCCTAGGCTGCACTCTCGAGCCTAGGCGGAGTAGTCAAATGCAGATTCACTGAGCGCTCAACACAGACAGCATCGTCAGAAGGAAAGTTGATAAAATAAATTACAAATTTTGTATTGTTCTTTTTTTTCCTCCCCTTTGGTTTTCTTTCTTTCTCTCCCCCTCTTTCTTTCATTCTTTCCCCCTGTCCTATCCCACAGTCATGTCTGTCCCGTTTGCAACTGAAAATAAAATAAATTCATAATTATAATAAAGGTCAATCAAATGGACCAATATGATGATCCACTTAAAATAAATCCTCTTGGCATCTTTCTTGGCCTCAAGACAACAATTCTGATGACTATAGATCCAAACGGGACACAAAAAAAAAAAAAAAAAAAAAATTTGAAAAAAATTGTATTGTTCGATACATACATATGCGTACCGAACCGAAAGCACTGTATCGAACGGTTCAATATCGATACGAATATCGTTGCACCCCTCAAACAAAGTAATCCTGTTAAAGCCTAGTGAGTGTTACATCACAGTGTTTGTAACTAGCAGTGAGACTCACAGTATGAACATGATGACACCCACAGCCCAGCAGTCCACAGGACGGCCATATCGGTGACGAGCCACCACTTCAGGAGCTGAGAAACAGCAATGAATGAAGCAGATACAGAATGTGTGTAAGAGGCAGAGAAATGTCCGAGGATTTTATTTACAAGCCTTCACACCATATTTATGCCTCTAAGCTGCACGGGCAACTTACCTCCGAAGGCTATCTCCAGTTTTAATTCCCTCTTTTTATTTGTTTGCATCATTTCCCCACCAGGGCCACTATTCGCTTCCCTTATTTATTAGTGTAATTACTCAGTTCAGCATCATGAATAACTGTCCTGGCATTTCGGTGAGAGAATCAGGCCAAGGCCCAGTCGTGTACTTCAAGTTGCCCTTACATAAATCTCAGTGACACAGAGAGGAGAGACAGCGCACATGAAATGAGATGAATAGAATAGAAGAGTTTGATTGTTTGCAGTTCTGCTTATGTTTTCTGTCGGTGTACTGGCTGGTTGTTGGGGTTGAACTCTGAATGCTCAGTAGCACAAGTCCTCAATCACCTGGGGGTGGGTGTCCAGGTACACACCGGCTCACTCCTTGGCGGCCGCTTATCGGGGCCTGGAGCCTGGGGCTCGCTCGGGCCCCTTCGGGGGTGGGGTGCCCCCGGCCTCTCGGCCTGGGGCTCGGTCACTCAGGCACAGCTGGCGGCCGGCGGAGCTCACGGGCGCGTCACTGCAACTCCCCCTGACTTCTGCTCCGCGGCTGCTGAGTGAACCCTCATCTGGGACTCTCCTCAGCTCTTACTGGAACAGTGGCGCGGCTGCCCCTCTGTTGGTCTTCCATGGTCTCTTGTTCTGGGGGCCTCTGGATGTCTGGAGTTTTGATCTCCTCCATACCTGCTTCATGCCCTGGAGGACGGGGCTGTGGCCCCCCCACACTCCCTAGCAGATCGTTACATGGAGAAACCTTTGGAATACAAGCGCGCTGATCCACACAGGTATGCACACAGGTGTTCACTGCTCGTAGACCCAAATTACACCTTTCTTGGCTGCTACTTCGAAGCACATCTGTCCTGCGTGCTGCGCAACAACATTGAATATTTAGTATTTACTGCTGTTTACACTTAGCTAGATTAATGCGATGGTGTTGTGTTTAGTATGTTGCTTTGTTTCTTTTTTTTTTTGTCTTTTTTTGCTTGTTTTCTATTCTTCTCTCAACAGGTGATCCAGGAGATTTTTATTTTTTTCTCCCCCCCTTTCTCACTGTCCCTCTCCCCTTCTGTTTTTCCTTTCCTTCCTCTTTCTTTCTCCCTTTCCTATCTCTCACTCATGTCTGTCCCGTCTGTAACATCTGAAAATAAAATATAATAAATAATAAAAACAAAGATCGACCAAATGGACCAATACGGCAATGCCACGATGATCCATTTGGCAAAGTAAATCCATTGGGTATCCTTGTTGGTCTTCAGACAACAATTCTGATGGCTAAAGAACCAAATGGGACAGGCGAAGAAAAAAAAAAAAAAAAACAAGTCCTCAGTCACATTTACACAACAGAAGAAAACAAAGATGGGAAAAAACAAAACAGGATAATAGATGGAGAAAAACTGAAAAGAAAATTTGGTTCCAAAACAAAGCCACACACTGTAAAGTGATGTCTGGAGTTACTTACCCAGGTATTCCGGTGTTCCACACGGCTCCGTGATTGGTCCGTTCTCAAATCTGGACAGGTAGAAATCTCGCAAAACTACTTTGTTATGGTTGTTTTCTGTGTAGTACATCAGGTTTTCCAGCTACAGAGAATGAGAAACGAAATAGCATTCCTACACAATTTCACACGTACTAAATGACACCATGGAGTCAAAGAAACGGGCCACTGGTTTAAATATCTGATGGTGGGTATTTTAACAGATCAGGACCAAGTGAATGTCCATCAAATTTGCCAAAACAACTCTTGTACAAATCCAAAGAACTGTCAGTCTTTATGCTCTGTACTATTGGACTTAACAGGAACAATAACTTACAATGAACGATGGTAAATGTACATTTATGTACTTTTTGCACAAAGAGGTCATAAATTTAGTGAGTCTCATGAAAACTGTTGGCTTACACATTTCTGCGAAAATGGATCTCCAAATAATTTAACAGCTGCATAAACTCCAGTATATTCAAGTTCAAAGAGGTGAGACTACAAAACTTCATGCGTGCAAGAAACTATGACTGCAGGTAACTCTTGTATGTAATCAGCAGCTCAGGAAACAAATCTCTCCTGTCGAAAATGAGTACTGGAGCAAAACTAGTTTGCCAGTGAAGATAGATGCCTTTAGGAGCAGTGTGTTTGTGTAGACCAAAGAAAGCTTTTCAGGAGAAAAATCTATTCAGATGGGAGGGATGTGAAACATGCAGTGCATGCAAGAGAGCCCTCAAACATCTCACAACTAAAAGACCTTCAGACAAAACAGTGGTGAAAATTCTTAACAATCCAAAAGGTGATGATTTTAATCGACTTAACTTCTATTTTGTAGGAACTGTAGCATTAAATGTTATCCTGATATGTCGAAAACAGTTCCAGTAAGGTAATAATAACACACAAGGGGTTAATAAGTCCTTGATATCATATAGCTCAAGGCCATTTACTTAAAAGTCATTAGTGGGCTAATCGAGGCAAAACTGACAGCCTTCCAGTGCAAATCATCAGTACAAGAGTAATCATCATTTGATGTCACTTATAGAGGTGTGTAGACCTTTGATTGCAAAGAGACAAATAACTGTGTGTGATCTAAATAGCTGTGATGGGGCATGTGGCTGTGAGGGATCTGTCTCAGAGGCAGCATGCATATAGAAGACAAAAGTGGTCCTAGTACTGAGCCACGAGGGACACTAATTCAAATGGTCTGCACAGGATCAAGTATTAGCTTTGGCCACAGAGACGATTTTGTTAAATAAGTAAGAATGAAAACAATGTAAAGACGATCCCTTAATCCCAATCTAGGTTTCAAGATGGTCCAGCAAAATAAAGTAGTTGACTCTGCCAAATGTAGCTAACAGCACTAGCAGTGAGCAGTCATCACAAAGATATTCACTAAGATGAAAAGACTTTCTCTAGAACCTTAGATAAAAGAAAAGTTCACAGCAACGCTGCTCTATTCACCTGAATGTTTGTGTTATGATCACAATAGAGGGATTAGGCCAGATTAAGAGGCAATTTAGTTTTTTTCACATCAGGCATGCTTAAGTCAGAACAATAACACTGATAAGTCAACCTGTTAGCAAGACAAGCAAAATTAAGATGTAATGAACCAGCAGATTTAGCAATGTAGCTGGAATATGTGCAACAAATTATCATGTTGTTTCTGGACCACGACGAAGCCAAACCCAAACACACTAACACAAGTATTGGTTTCCCTGTAAGAAGTCATTTCTAGTCCTGCATTTATTTCAATTTCACTTTTATTCGATTTTGATTTGGTTTGATTGGTTTATAATCTGATTTCTGCCCCTAGGTTTAAGCAAAATAAAATTTCATCTTTTACCAGTAGAGGGAGTCTGAAGCCCACGAGATGTTGTAGCTCATTCCTAATGGTTTGATGATGTCCGCTAAAGATATGAATCTCTCTGCATGCGTGTCTGTCACTAGAGATTGTTTCAAGCCATAAAGACAGTGTTTACTCCCGTGGTAACAATGTTATCAAACGTTCAGTCATTACCGGGATGGCAGAAGTATGCTTTTATGTGTCTCCAAAGATTTTGTGCTGACTAAATACTTAATATTGCTTTCTGGAGTGTGACGGCGCTCACTCGACAAAGTTAGTTAGTCACTAATCTATTTTTATCTTTTTATGGTAGTGGCACTCACTACACACACACACACACACACACACACACACACACACACACACACACACATACACACACACACACACGCCATAAGACACAGAAAGGCAGTCAGCATGTACCTTCAGGTTCCTGTGAACTATGTTGAGGGAGTGTAAGTATGCCACAGCCTCCAGGACTTGTCTGATGACATTGGAAGCGTCTCTCTCTGTGTAGTTCCCTTGGTCCAGAATCCAGTCAAAAACATCTCCTCCTGTGGCACTGCGTGCAGTCGCACACACACACACGCACACACGCACACACACACACACACACATGCACACACACACACACACACACACACACACACACACACACACACACACACACACACACACACACACAAGTACACGTATTACTAAAAATCCCATGACATGTAAAAGGCTATTTTGAAACACTGTAAACCACTTTCAGTCTTTTTGCAGCACAGTTTCCTTTTATTTACGAAGGATAAACAACCTTCTCTGCTAGGCTGGAGCCAGCACTGCTGAGCAATTAAGAACGATACTATTAGTCATTACCAGTGTTGGTCAAGTTACTTGAAAAAAGTAATCAGTAACTAATTACTGATTACATTCCCAAAAAAGTAATCCCATTACTTTACTGATTACTTATTTTCAAAAGTAATTAATTACTTAGTTACTTAGTTACTTTTTAAAAACACGATTTACAACCTGAAGAGGTGATAAAGTGATAGATCTTTCAGCCCAATTCTACTTTTTCTACATAATCCATCATACAAAATGTAATCAAATGGAAAAGTCTCTTTTTTTTTAACATGTTTTATTAGTTTTAATCTTTTAACTTTATGCATCAAGCAAAAATGTAATTATATGCAACATTCTCTGACTGGAAGAAATTAGTTTAACATTTAAACCTATTTTCTGCACATTCCAGCACATAAAATAAAATAGTTTTTGTGTTTACACTCAGTCTTTCAAATAGATGCAAGTAAAACACAGCAGAAAATAAATAAAGTCAAAGACTCAGCGGTCCTTTTGCTCTATTTTCACCTGTAAAGCAGGAGTGGGGTAGGCGGAGGTTTACCCTGGTGCAGGTGTGCTGCGGTCAGTTGAAGAATCCGCGCGAGTGTCTCTGTGAGTTTCCCATCACGTCGTAGCTACTCGGTGCTTGCTCGGAAGTTTAGGGGTTTTTTTCGCTGTAAAAAGAAGTTTTCTTCCCACGCACGATGGACGCTAATGTTTTTGTCACTTTTTATGGAATCAAACTCAAAGTAAGGTCAGTACTTCCACGCTTTAAACGCTGCACGCTCATACTCTCTCCCACAATCGATATGTGAACCATTGTTGATCTGCACACAGCTGTTGTCACGAATGGCGCACTCGCTTACGTCACTGTCATGAGACATTCTCGCAAAAAAATCACGGTTTTAGTAACGCAGTAACGCAGCGTTCCTACGGGAAAGTAACGGTAATCTAATTACCGTTTTTGCAATAGTAATCCCTTACTTTACTCGTTACTTGAAAAAAGTAATCAGATTACAGTAACACGTTACTTGTAACGCGTTACTGCCCATCTCTGGTCATTACTCTAACATACTTAGTTACATTTTGAGATGAACGATGACAATGATTATCATGTAATGCTTCCAGCAGGAGGTCTGGTGCCTGGGCTAATGTGTGAGCTACACATAAATAGCCCGATGTACACACAAATGACTGCAAGTGCAGTTTGTCTTTCTCTGTTTCAGTAACACGGCATAAATAATGTGTCCACTCTGCTCCAGTCATTATTATTGCTTTCAAATAAAGCTGCAAATATCAAAATGCGCAAGTCCCAAGTGATGTGGATTAGGTGAGTTCTAGTGTATCGATCCCAAGCTCTCCACAGAGACTCTCTTGTAGCAGAGCAGTGCTTCAGGAGCACTGAGTAATGTTGAGTGTTACTAAGAGCAAATATCTCATCAAATCTAACACCTTCCCCTGTGTCTGAGGGGAACAACAGAGCACACAGTAATAAGAGGATAGACTCAACTCCTACCCTCGAGCTGCTGGATTTGTGTTACGGCACATGCACAAAAACGACACTCAAACAGATACTGACAATGATGTTAACGCGAGAAAGACAATCGGTGGAAAAGTTCAAAGAAATGCTCACAGCTCCTGGATGATGAAATATTCCTTCCGAGTCTCAAACGTATCTATCAGCTGAAGGATGTTTGGATGGTTTAACCTGGAAGAGGCAAAAGAAGTCACAGGCTGTAGGACGCTACGTGCAAACGTAAGGTGCTAAGGAGTCTGTCAGGTGACTAAATAAAGCAAAAAGCACAATTCACATCTCAGCTTACAATATCAACAAGAATTATTGCACAATTCATTTCACTTGGAAATTAGTATATCCAAACATTCTCTCCTTCTCCTCCTCTCCGCCTTTCTCCATTGCTCAATCATACATCCATCTGTTCACAAACTGATTGCGTACAGTTTCAGAATCATGATTTCGTTCTTGGCAGCCTTGCGGACTTTCCTGCCATCTTTCTTGAGGAATTTCTTGCAGACAAACACCTTGTCTGTTTGTCTGTCCTTTGCCAGGCACAGCTCGCAGAACTCCTTCCTACGCGATAAGAAAAAGAAATGGACAGAAAGACAGACAGACTGAGAACAGCAGAAAGAGTAAATGCTGGAAGAAGGATGAAAGTTTCTGATATTTTTTGTATGAGAGCGCGGTCCAGGAGAGACAGAATAATATTCAAATTAGGGGCACAAAGAGTACACTGGCTGCTTTGGTGAAACTCAGTGAAATAATTTAATTAGGAGGTGAAGCTTTGGATAGAAGGGTTGAAATGGGTCTTACAGCTCCCATCAGCTGGGCGGCATTAGGTTTTGAGCCTTTGGGGCATTCAGTACTTCACCCAAATGGATTCAGGGAAGCTTCGTGATGGAAAATTAAACTGCAATGTTTCACAATGAGAATGAAAAAGAAAAAGCGATAAACACAAGTTTAAGAAGCACATGTACAGGCCTACAGCAAAAGCTTTGCACTTAATTCTGACTTAATGTGTTTTTAAGTTTGTGTGTGTGTACATGCACGCGTGTGTGTGTTATATAAAAGATGAGCAGAAATCTCTGAGGCCAGATGCTGATGTTGCCATATGGCCTTTTACACTGATTGGTATTTGTGTGTATGGTTTGCATGCCTGCCTGTGTGTGTGTGAGTTCGTGTTTCTCGAAGGGGTGCGCAGAAGAAAATGGTTCGTTTTCAGCCAGTTGAGCAGCAAACTGATTTTCAGAGGTTTTACGCAATATGTCTAAATATTTTTTGAATAAATAATAGATCCAGTGAATAAACAATAGCCTTCGAACAATGTGTTTCCTGAACTTTTACAATCAAAAATATTGAGACAATTGGCTAAAACGGACAAATTTGTCACATTTGTCTGTTACACACCAGCATCGCGCTGTTACCTTCTGTCATTCCTGCAGTGAAACCTTCTAATATGCCAAACCAAAGCTGTGGTGAGAACTGTCCAGTTCAGAAAATAACTCATGAGGTGAATGAAAACCTTGTGCCTGTGAAATGTTTACAATGGAGAGGAGGGAAAAGAAATCCGTGCATAAAGCTTTATAGCACTCACGCTCGCAGGACTTGTCCGAACTCATACTTGTCTGTGACATCAGATATGGTGTCATACGTTCGCCCATCTCGCAGGGCAAGGCACCCAAATGGCATGACGGCATTCACCTAAAAAGAAACAAAAATGAAAAACGAAGAGAAAGGTCTTTGAGTCACTTCACTATTGGGGTCAAATAAATTATTCTGAAGATGCCTTCAGGTGACAGACAGATAAAAGGAAACGGAGAGGCAAAAACCAGCGTATTAAAGAGGAACAGAGTTACTGATGAAACACTGTGAAAGCTTCCCAGTTGTTGAAGTCAGAAGAGACTGAAGGAGCGTCATTACTATTAGTCTTTAAAATATACAGTACGATGGAGCGCCACAGATACAACCGTGTCAGTTTCAGAACAAATGTGAATGCCGATGCTTCTGGCAGCCTGGTTTATGCCAGCCTTGTCAACAGACCCTAAGCTACCCACTAAGCTTCTCTTTACTCTGCTAAAGTCTGCAGATTCAGTGCAACGTCTGTCAAGTTCAAGTTAAACTTTATTTCTAAAGGGCAGTGTCCCTGCATCCCTGAAGCAGCTGGTTTCTTCACCAATCGCTGGACTGACACCGCTAGATTTTAATGACATAATTTCTTTTGTTCACAGTCTGTCAGTCTTGATATGACACAGAATGACTTTTAATGCTTCCCTTTTATCTCATCGTAACTCCTGCTGCTAGCCTCGCATATACTGTATATAATACTGCACTGGTCTTTTCACCTGATAGTAACTCATACTGTTAACACTGCACATACTGTATGTAATACTGTATATTTATATATAAAATCTTCTTATCATGTCTACCTTAAAATAGCTTGTGACCCCACAGGAGGTTCCAAACGCCCAGGTAGAATATGAAGGATCTAGCAATCGATATACCATCTCACCACAGTCCTCAGGCAATCCTCACCCACACCTTTTAAGCACACCATCTACTGTAGAAGACAGATTCCCTGGAAACTTCACTCATGCATCCTCAAGGTCCTTCTCCTCCATCACGTACTGTTACCTGAGCCTTAATATCGAACCTATTCCCATTCGTCGTATAATTTCTATTGTTTCTATCTCCGAGTCTCTTCAATTGAGTTAGGAAATGACGCAGTAGGGAGGGAATGGGACATTTGAGAAGGAGCTTTGATTAATGTGAGTAATTGCATTGAGAGAGCCAGTAATGTAAAGATGACTTCATTGTTTATTGTGTAACAGCGAGAGAGAGAGAGAGAGAGGAATAGCCAGATATGTATAACAGGAGAGAAGACAATCCTTAGCAGAAATGGCATTTTGTGGGTGCTAATTTAGGATTAAGGAATGAATATCAGTGACATAAAATCCTCTCTCTTCTCTTTGTGTGCATGACATCACCAGTGTAGATGATAGGGCCAGAGGTGGGTCTGTCCTGTGATGGAGGAGGGGCAGGAAAGTACTGTGTAATCCCAGTGCTGGCCGTAATCTTTAATCTGTACCCCTAATCCAGAGTGCTGGGATACAATGTGTGTATGTGCAGGCGTATAAAAGTGTGTGCCTGAGCAAGTATAAAGGCTGATGCGGGTAAGTCGCAAGTACAGATAGAGGTTTGAGCAGGAGGGTGCGTGCCTGTGTGTACGTATGCATCCATATGTCCATCCTTGTGTGAGTGTAATGCCCCGGTGAGATGGGAGGTATTTAGTGGTGAAAATGCACAGTACTGCCAGAAGATTATGTAAGCGCAACAACAATCCCATGACAAGGTCCAGGACGGTGAAGGTGAAGCTGGCATGAATGGAGCACATCCATCCCTCTGGGAACAAAGTGTACCCGCTGAAATAAAGTAAAGGCTGCCAAGCCCCAAGTATTATTCTTCAGAAGGGTCAGGAAATGGGTTTGCCAAGAACTTTGAGATGCTACGTTTTCAGCCCATCCCTTTCTTGCTCTGTCCCCATCTGCAGACACTATACACACTATTAAAATAAATCTGTTTCTGCCTTTACACTGGCATTAACGTTTTTAAAAACTTTTCCTCCAGTTTGTTTAACAGTTGGTGTCGGTTTAGTTGAAACTTAAAATGAAGCACTTCACTTCTTTGTGTGAAGTACAAATTCCCAGAGGGTTTGAAATGTGGATGGCCTTAAAAAGAACACTAAATAACTGTCTGTGCTTTCCATTTGGAGGGATGTAATCAGTCCAGGGTACTTTCTTTCAGTTACAGTGTATCTCACCTTTTCTCTCCTTGTGCCAACAGAGAATGTTTCTCAGACTGCCATAAAAACACCGTACCTGCAGAATACTGAGTCAGTGCGAGCCTCGAAGTTGACGAGGAGTAGGAGGAGATATATGGAGGATATGAGGAGAATGGAGATGAGAGGGAAGGACTGGAAAAGATGGAAGACGAGGGAAAAGGTGAGAAATAATGGGAACAGAAAAGCAAAGTGAAAAGTGCACTGTGACTAAGTGGAAAGGTGGATAGAGAAAATAGTGTACATGAGAACAGAACAAAGTGTGAAACACAGAACTGCAGAGGCAGACTGAGAGTACCTATCAACCTAACAGCTTCACAGCTATCTGTGTGCAAATGCTTGCACAGGTGAGTGTGTTTCTTTGCGAGTGTAAGTGTGGGCACATGTGGCTGTATGTGTGTATATGTTAACAGGCTTTGTCAGACTCACTGTGTTTGGTAAGGGTATGAAAGGATGTCCCCGGAGTCAGAAAGCACTTGAAGGCATGACAGGGCAACCTCTCTGTAAGAAACATTTACAGCCACCAGCCTGAATATGTGCCACAGATTTGCAGGTAGCACGATATCAGGGATAAAATGAAAGCATTGAAGTGCAGTGCAACATTCCAGCCTTTCTAAGCGATGCCGTCACTGATCTCTCAGTGGCAGGTTCGCCTTTGAATCAGCAGGTCTGACTGCTGTGTGATGTGGGAGTCTCAGCATTAGGGCTGGGCCATATTATACCGTTCACGGTAATACCGGTATAATGTTAGGCAACGATAGGAAAATGAAATATCGCGATAGAATGGGAGTAAAACGCGCATGCGCAGTGCCTTTGTTTTCATACGCACATGGCCGATTGTTGGTTTGTAAAAATGGTGCAACTTCCGTGATGTGGAACTGGTTTGGTGTTTGTCCGTCAGATACACAACAAAGCACATTTTTTTGCAGAACATGCAAGCGGCCGTTGTTATTGTCGTATTTGTCGGACTAAGATGCTCTTAAATCTGGGAGTAATCTGGGTCCTAAACTCCGTATGCTTCAGGTCAAACAACACTGCAGCATCACTTAGAGTTAAAAACTTTCTAAATTCTTTCATCTTTAATAAAACGATCAGCATTGCTGCTTTACCAGGTGTAACTATAAAGTTTAACTTCCAGGCATCCATGAAAACAAAAGTTATTACATTTAACGGAGTTAGAAGTTAGCAGGAAGCTAGCGGAAGTTAGCTCGCTAGTTTCGCTAGTTACCTAAGCATGATATAGCATGTTCTGACGGAGAGATTTCTGAAAAAATTCAAACGTACAGCTCTGCTATCACTTCCAACATAAATGAAGACAGGAAACTAAACAGCAGTGACGTTTGTAGGGTTACTGAAGTTGGGCTAGCTGGTATATAATGATGTGCTACGTGATCGCTAGCGACACAGCTATGTTAGCATAACATAAACAGTGAAGCTGGAGGACGAACACTAACACTTTTCCACTTATAAAAGTTAACGTGAAGGTTCTTCATGGTTAGAGACAAATGCAATCGCATGGCAGGATGCTGTAAACGGACCAAACTTCAGTCAGGAGAACAACTGAGATAATCCATCCACAATACGAGGTTAGTCATTAATATACTGCAACAACATGGGAATAGAGCAGCTGCCAGAGAATTCAACATTAATGAATCAATGGTACAGAAGTGGAGGAAGCAAGAAGAATGAGTTTAATAAAGTTTGATTTATCTGACTGCTTTGTTTCGCTTAATGTGCCTTATAATCCCGTGCACCTTATGGTCCGAAAAATGCGTACTGCACACTGCAGTTTAATGTTGCAAAGCACCTCTTTTTAACTTCAGTGGATATTATACATGGTTATGCTCAGGATATGTCAGCCCATTTCTACTGGAAATGCCTTTTGGTTAAACTTTCAGCAAGGAATTTGCATTTGCACTGTTACATTTTTATAAAGCTTTAATGTACATAAAAACCAGCTTCTTGTTTAAGTGAAAATAAATGGAAGGTTGTCTTTTTGCGCTAGTAATGTTGTGGAGTTGTATTTTGTCTCGCATCAATTATATCGTCGGTTATATCGTTATCGCAAATTTTCAAATATATATCGTGATAAATATTTTTGGCCATATCACCCTGCTCTACTCAGCATCACAAGAAATGTTTCCTTTTAACATTTCCAGATTTTTTCAGTCATGCCTTTTTTTTTTGTTGCTAATGGTCAATCTGTGATTCAAACTCGCTATGTGGAGGCCAGTGTTGGTCAAGTTACTTGAAAAAAGTAATCAGTAACTAATTACTGATTACTTCCCCCCAAAAGTAATCCCATTACTTTACTGATTACTTATTTTCAAAAGTAATTAATTACTTAGTTACTTAGTTACTTTTTAAAACACAATTTACAACCTGAAGAGGTGATAAAGTGATAGATCTTTCAGCCCAATTCTACTTTTTCTACATAATCCATCATACAAAATGTAATCAAATGGAAAAGTCTCTTTTTTTTTAACTTGTTTTATTAGTTTTAATCTTTTAACTTTATGCATCAAGCAAAAATTTAATTATATGCAACATTCTCTGACTTGAATAAATTAGTTGAACATTTAAACCTATTTTCTGCACATTCCAGCACATAAAATAAATTTTTTTGTTTTTCAATTCAATTCAATTCAATTTTATTTATATAGCGCCAAATCACAACATAAGTTGCCTCAAGGCGCATCATAGATACAGAGAAAAACCCAACAATCATATGACCCCCTATGAGCAAGCACTTTGGCAACAGTGGGAAGGAAAAACTCCCTTTTAACAGGAAGAAACCTCCAGCAGAACCAGGCTCAGGGAGGGGCGGGGCCATCTGCTGTGATTGGTTGGGTGAGAGAAGGAAGAC